AAGCAGATGAGATCTATCTGACTGTCGGCTTGATGGTATAGATACCTTTACCTTCCTTCTTCCGATGCCTGCAGTACGTTTTAGGGAAAACTGTTTCATATTTGCATTACACATAAGAAAAAACATGCAATTACACAAGGAGCAAGTTTTACCCATCCTGCCATCGGTGTGCCCCAATGGTAAGTTAAGTACAGCCCCAATGGTAAGTTAAGTACAGCCCCAATAGTAAGAAAGTGAAATCTAATATAGCATACGTTCCCAGATTGTTCTCTATCAGCAATCAACACAAATACACGAGCGCGATTCAGACTATAAAAGTATATGATACTATATATATAACAATAACTGCATTTTTCTTCGTTTTATCATCTTTTGATGAAAAGGATAGAACATTTCCTGATTAACAGAGAAAGAGAATGGATCGTATTGGCATAATATAGCTCGCAGTAAACATTTTTGTTACTTTATTTAATTTTTGTAATTTTACTCCGCAAAATTTATTAATGAAATTTTACTGCATTTGTATGTTACACAGTTATCGCGTTATGTTGAACGTTCGCTTTTATTGCCGACATACTCTCCACGAATACTGCATATTAATTGAATATAAATCAAATGAAAAGGAAGTTTTAGAAGGTCACCAAAATATTACGGTAGAACGTTACTTTTATTTTACGAAACACATGTTTAGTCCTTTGATCACGCTAGATGAGTTGTATATCCAATGAACTTGTGTTCTTCAGCTGTCCTTCTAGGTCAGCGGATCTTCTACACCGTATAAATTTTCCTTCGGGGTATGTTAAAGATGCTGTGTTTGTGCGACCTTTGCCCCCAAATATACGTAATCTCAAAAGCGGCATTGGTATTTCTATAGTGACAGTAACAAAGAGATACACTGAAGAAAGTACGATAGAATTTGAATACCACATTAATTCGCGTTCTCCTCCTCCATGTCATTTTAAGCGTATGATTTAGAAAGTTTTAGTCGAATAATCAGCCGCACAATTTCTGAAATCTCTCCGACTGGTATTGCATTTAGAGTGCGTTCATTCAATTTTCAGGTTCCGAAACGAGATTATTATTTTCCTCCCAATGGTGATAAAATGATAAATGGAGCTTTAAACGGTAGTATTTTGCGAAATGAACATCTGAGCAAAAATAAGTCCTAACCGTCTAGTGGATTAGACGGCAAACAAACAACAGTATAATACTGCATTCTGTAGAACGACTGGAAAAATAAATCATTCGGTCGGAATTAAAAAGGGAATTGATATAAAAATCAAGAACATTACTCTTTAGAGATTCAGTCTTCAGGATGCGTTCATAAAGACGGAATTAAAAAATGGATTTTATATTCCGTTGGAGTAGACACATCTTTCCGAAAAGGCAAGACAGTTGCAAAAGAGAAATGCTACTTCAATTGCCTTTTCCCTGAAGTTCATTTCTTCCTTCTAGATATACTCTACAGTTACTTCGGCATTCACGTCTCAAGTGTACATTTGCCAAAATATTACTGTCACTTCAAGTGCGTCAGTTTAATTTCAAACCTTTTGAAACCATGCAATACAAGAGTATAGGGCGTAATTATATCACAGAATTTAAATTGCTAAATGCTAAAATATGCTAGAATGAATGGTATTAATGTCAAGGAAAGAGAGTATTGAATTGAATCAAATCTTAACTAAGCAGAGAAAAAAAAATTACAAGCAACAATGATTTTAAAAAAGATAAATTTTAGGGAACCCGAAACGGGAAATAATACAAAAATTCTTCACGAAATGTTTAATTATGTAACATTGTAAAATATAAGAAATAAAAAAATAGCATAAAACTACTTTTTAAGAACAATAATTAATAATAAAACTGTTAATACACAATCTTAATTATATAAATTTTCTTTTCCCGTCACTAGTAAAACTATATGCACCTTGTAATTTTCACCTTCCAATTTTCAGGCTGCGAAATCAATATATTAAAGGGGCAATACTGGAGTAAATACGATACATTCGAAAAGTACTTCCTGTGACTAGGAAATCAAGCATGAACATTCTTTAGCAAAATATTTTTAAACAATTTTCTTCTTACTTCATGTATTACCGGTCACGTTCTGTTTCTATATTTAAATAAATAAACTACTTTTAAATCCTATTAATCATTTTGAGTGCCCTGAATCTAAATTTATAATAATTTTTGGATACAGAGAAATCTCTCATGGCGATTATCACTGTAGACTGCCGTCTCTTAAATTGACCAGTTTTTCCAAAAACATTATTAAGTATTGGTATTGAACATCATTTCTTGAACATGATTCCCTCTATTGATCAAAATAGTCTGGAACCGGATTGTCATCTTGCACAGTCATCTTGTATTAGCAGTATTAAAATATGAAATCTAGCAAATGCAGTTATCACTCTCACTTTAATACTAATTTATAATATATAAACAACTAGCCGTTGAGAAATACATGTGCAAACAAAATTCAACGATCTCCCTCTAACAAAAATCTTAGAAATACCGATAACGTTCATAAATGGTCGTGTTAGAGAGATGATCATCACGAAAAGTTTAAGCATATTTACTTTATTTCCCTAAGTATTGAATACTTCTGTCTACCTAATTCGAAGTAAGGTTTCCGAAGATGCACAAATTAATATTAGGAATTAAAATTACGCTTTATAATGAAACATTACAGAATATCTTTTTTTTTTTTTTTTAAATCGAGGTGCAAACTGCAGTAAATATCCAGTGACCTACTTATGGAAACATTTGCTGTCAATGCAACTACGAAGAGATGACTGTAATATTCCAGCGTGCTATGCTTCAGCCGAGGCCAAGGACTTGTCAATCTGCAGACAGCAGTTTCTCCATGCACGTGCTTCTCATTCTGAAGTCAAAGAGTAGCTTTCATTGTTATATCTTCCTTTCAAATCAACAGAATAGGAAATAAGGACTCAACTTCAAAACACTCTTGAAGTATACGTTTCTGTATTGTGATCACGTTTCCTGCATAACATCAGAAATCAAGTCAGCAATCTTTTTCTGAGGTGACATAGACTTCAACCTTTGAATTCCATAAAATTTTATTTACATGATAAGAACTTTTACCTCACAATAAAAAATAATGCAATTCCTGAGCCAGGTAATAATCACGTCATTATTTTATTTTATTTCAATGTATTGAAATTTTCAAGATAAAAGCCCAGAATCAATTAATAATCTTCGGCTTGATGTAACTTTTAAAAATAGAACAAATATTTTTCTAGCAATGAAACGTTTACAGTGTCTGAGTCCGAAGATTTCATACCAATGAAAGTTTTAACGTCCCTTACAGGCATATAAATCTGTACAGTAAAACCTTCTAAATACACGGACTCTATGGAAATACAGCCATGATGGGTGTTCATGAAATCCAAACAAATGATAGATCGCTTTTCTTCTGTAGGTCAAAAATATTCTTTTATGCATTTTACGGAATTTTACGGAATTTCGTTCATTGCACTTTATTTTAGCAAACATCAAATTTTTTTTTTATTTTCCTGAATGGAAATACTAAACACTCTTTCTTCAATAAAATGAAAATTAAAAAATGAAGTTATTTTTATTTGAATGTAGACAACACACTTCTATTTAAACTGAAAATAATGAAATTGTTATTTACGTAAACCCAGAAACGTAACACATAATATCGTTTTGATTTTTAGCCGAAAAAGGCTATTAGTCTCGAAATGGGATTTTGTGCCGAATCATTATAAATGCATCGCTTTACTTTTCATTCGAGTCTGTTGCCATTCGGCAAAATGTAAGATATTTATCTTTCAAAATGAATCTGTCTATTGTGGATTAACAAACTAAGTTATTTGAAAGCAATAGATGCAGTTTTTAAGAATATTTGTTTCTTGCTTTTAAATCGGATTAATTTAAATAATAAAAACGCATTTAATTCATTATCTATCCAATTAAAATAGTAATTACTTTGACAGAATGTCGTTATATATCTTCTTCGTTATTTCTGTATTTCATATTTTATAAAATTTGAATGAATTTTTGATTAACATACTCAACGATTTGAATCGAGCGATGGCAAAGCTACACAGAAGACCACATTTTTATATTTAGTGCGCGACAGTGTTTATTGCAAATTCTAAAGATATGCTATTTTTAAATACTTTGGGATTTTCCTGAATTGAATTGAATTTTATGTGGCGTAAATGCAAAGAACAACATATTTAATAAATAAAGTTAACACACGTAACGTTAATAACAAAAAGGAAAAAAAAAGCGTTTTATAAGCGTTTTATAACTTACTAAAAGAACTGGACATCGATATGATTAACTTAGGAAAGACTGAAAAAAATAGAGAAATGTATGCCAACACTTTAACCCTGGATCGAGAAGTCAAAGTATATGCTGCTGTTAAAATTTTTGTGATTTTACTATTGAAGGGCGTTAAGTGCATAGAAAACTACTTTAACAATAAAAGTAAAAAAAAGGGTGTTGAGCAGGAGTGAGTGCAATAGCAGACTGGTAGACTGCGAGCTCAGCGAAAGCATAAAAAATCTTTTTGGGCGACCTTTAAAATCTGAAACCATGTAGAATGGCCATGACACGGTAAGAATACATGATGAAACTGTTTTAATATTTTACAAGCTTATCATTTGTTTCGTCTCGTACCATGATGTAGAACGCCTACAATTAGCGCATGAAAAGGTTTTACTAGGCTAAAATATGTAATTAAGCCAAACACATGAGAGTTTATATATTTTGACTAAGGTCTTTATACAGGGTTTTTGAAATACGCCTGAATGAATACATGAAACTCTTATGACACTGATCTTTTTATGTGATATCGAAACAACGTAAGCATCTTAATGGCTCAGTCTACTTTGGCTTTGGTAGGCACATTAACGTAAAAAAAGAACATTTAACACATATCTTATTTAACACATGAAATATAAGATTTATTTTACTCATAGAATGGAATAATAATGCCATTCTCTTACCATCCAATATACCACGGTTTACTAGCTCTTTCCGTGCTCATCGAAAGGACTTCAGCCAAACTGTCGAATTCTGTTTGATAGGGAAAAAACTGACATTCTCTCTCAGTTTCCCAATAAATTTCCTCTTCATCCTTTCCTAGGTATAGGTTTCGAAAGAATTCAAAGCTGAATACGTCCAGCGCGGTCCAGTTCTTTGTTCCGTCGCTTACAATCACAGGAACAGCTGAATAAGCGAATCTAAAAAATGAATAAGATTACTGATTCAAAATATTTCCATAAAACCAATTAACAAACTGAAAAATAAGATTGCAACTTTTCGTTCATTTTCTGGTAAAATCAACAGGAATGCGGCCCAAAATCACAATATTTAGAATCAATAGCTTCTGTAGTCAGCACATAACCAAGACAGCAACTCATAAGCTGTTTTCCGTTCCACACAAGTAATCTAAAAACAATAATTTAATCAAATTGCTAGCTCTTAATTATGAGTTGCTTATAATTATAAATCATGTCTACGATATCCTAATGCCAGTTACATGCCATTGTCGATCGCTGTCTATTGCAATTGTTGATAATATGCAGTGTTTGTCTTACACACCAATAATGATTCTATGAGGTGTCACTTTACGGGTTTAGGACCTACGAGGAGTCGATCTAATGCATATGACGACTCTGGGCAGGCGACAAATGGGTGTTAATACTTTTCTTATTATTACAATAATATTCAAAATTCTTTGTTATCGTCTCCGTTGCGTGCCATGTCGACTGTACGCCTTGTCAACGTTATGCTGCGGCACTCCTACGCAGTATTAATCCAATGAACATAAGCTGCATCAATGAGCTCTAATAATGCGGGTTGGGATCGCCTGCTTTAGAGAATATCCAACAATATTTTTGAAATATTAGGCATCTTCTACGAGAAAGATATGGATGAAATAAGATACCTATTTGTACTGATAATACCGGCAACAGAAATCAGAAGTCAATGCCTAAAATAGTAACAACGCCTGTGTTTTATGTATATCGAATTTTTATTATGCCGCAGAAGGGCTAAATTTTTTCTAGTATTACGAATATCAATGGCTTCAAAAATGAACGTTACACCCATGTAAAGCACATTTTTGTCGCCCTTTTTCGAAGGCTTACTTAAAAAATATACTATTAAAAATAATGAACTTAAAAAACGGAAATATTAAAATAAAAAGCTGCAAGGACTAAATAAAAGCTTCAAGTTTTGAATTGTTACGCTTTGTTTCTATTGTCTCGACACACCCATTACACAATAGGGTGTGTTCGGTAATTTGCAAAGAATTCTAGATCAGAAATGAAAAATGTTAAGATCAATATATTGAAGTAGTTATGAAGTCCTGAAATACAACGTGCAGGCATGCCTAGCCGCGCCCTGTCTACAGTTATTCCAAGAAAGTTCGGCCACACAAGTTCCAGATCACCCCACCATTAAAAGGACATCAACCGTAGACAATTCATGGAAATCATATATATCAGACTGTGAGCATGTGAAATATAGAGTAAAAAATCAAATATTTTTGTTTACGAGAGTGTTTAAAGTAGTAATTTAAATCTAACTTCAGCATCGAATAATCTGGAATTTTCGCATTGAAGACTGGTTTATCTTTTGGTTTTCTTTCTACAAAATAGTTTTAGGAATTTATAAGTGGGAATAGAAATCCTTTCTTGCTCTTTTTTGGTGAAAAAAATTCTTGTTTTAAACAAAGAAAAAGGTTTTGTTATTATCAACTTGAGTATATTACAAATTAAATGTATTTTAAATTATATTAGTTAGATGTAATACTATAAAAATACAATTTTTTTTAATTATATGTTAAGAACTTCGTTATTTCTTTTTCAATTGCTTAGTTTATTAAGCCGTTATAAACTCAAAGATTACCTTGCTTTCTTCAAATGTCAGCCCCCTGAAATATGACTTCTTGAATGGCCGAAGATTTTATGACTTTCCCAGTGCCAACTTTGCCAAGCTGTATATCTGATAAACGTATTATAGCGCAAAGTAACGTAAGAGACAAAAAAATTTGAAAAGACTTTTTTAAAGCCATTTAAGTTAAAAAATAATCTGGTTACAGAAATGATATGTTGTTTCATATTGAGTGCGCACACAAATATTCTGGCAAAACTCATCGAAATTCTGAAATTCATCCGATTGCAGAAAGATACTTAAGATACTAATTTGAGAATTATAACGAAACTGAAGTACGCATATCAAATGAAAATCAACTCTAATGATAGTTTGTTTTTGTAAAAATATATATAAGTAATAATAAGCAAAGATTAATCCAAATAAAGTGTAAACTACTTGATGATTTCTCTCGAAAGTGTATATTGCAAATTTAGTGATATGTTAAGTACATTTTCAATAAAGCAGCGAAATTATTTGAAATTATTAGGATATTATAAATTGCATCAATAATCAAGCAAAGCAAGGGAAAAACTGCAATCCATTCTGTTCATTTAGAAGTATACAATGTTAAAAAAAATTCTGAAAAACCTGTGTAAACTGATTGCTAAAATTTTGTAATAAATTTAACTATATTTGACGATGACGTTTAAAAACTTCTGAAATCACAAAATGCTGCCAAATTTCGTCTTCAAATTTCAAAAACTTCATATTTAATGAATTTTTTGTATTACCTATAGATATTCAACAGGTAATGTAAATTAATATCGTTTCTTTTTTAATAATAACAATCAATGGCATGTTTTTCAAACCACCATGGTTTGCAAACGTGCCTTATGAAAAAACTACATCGATATTTGCGTTAAAAATCATGATAATTCCAATATTCTTATACAAACTATATACAGTGTTTATTTTATGCTGTCAATAGGTAATTTTATGGTGTCAAAAGTGATATGTTTAATTTGTGCTATGATGAAGAAACCTTCACTTGCGAGTATCTTTCTGATTTAGTCTTTTCATTACATTATATATAAAATTCAAAATATTCATTACATTATATATAAAATCATTATTAGTTGAATAATTTTATCTTTTTTGTAGCTCTTGAAGTTCTCTGCACTCTAAAGTTTTTTCTTTTCATTCGTCGGAATTCTTCCAGATGACTTACCCTTTTGCTGTGTAATATAAGCGGTTATCCTGATGTTTTAGGTTTAACTGTTTTGAATTTTGTTCAAGATGAGGTACAAGTTAGCCTTCAAAATTCTCATAATAAAGTCCTCTTGACTATTAAATTGAGAATCTCAACATCTTGTGAAAGTTTAAACACTTTTCTCATTTATATTTTATCATTTCAGAACCATTAGTAAAACGAGGCGCACAAACCACAGAACAACTGGGTTCTTTGATGGGGACTGAATAGGCTAACTATAGGTTTCCATGGTTTTCTTCCTGTTAACCTAAAACACAAGACCAGTTAAAGGGAAACTTATCCGTATTCTTAAATTAAATTACCAAAAAGCATTTCACTCCATAGGTTTCCAAGAGTATCGCAGGTGTCTCAAGCGTGTTCAGTTATGAATGAATAAGTCTGTTTACTTCACTGATTCAGTATTTGTCTTGCTTTTGAACTACTGAATTTTTGATTCTTTGTGGATCTCGATTTCAAACATATTTTTAATAAAAATATTTGAAATTGCGTGAATATAAGGGAAAGAAAGTACTGCAAATCTGTTGAAAACACGATAAAGTTGCTATTGATTTACAAACATTTTGTTCTTAAATAAAACATCTGCATGTATACCGTATATAAATTTGATTGAACATGGATCATATGCACTATAATATCGACTCGCATTACTACAGTCTTTCAGAATAATATGCAAAAGCTTCAGACTCACCAGCGGCCAAGCGAAAAAGTCGCTAAACAGTGTCAGGAACGAACCGGCTGGCTATATGATGTGGAGGTAGGAAAGTAAGTCCTTTCTTACTCCAGTGATAAATAGACTACCGCTTTTCCATGGAGGTAAGAAAGTCGTCGCTTTCCTCATATCATTATACAAGCTAGCTCCTCGTAGAAAGTCCTCTGACGGCATCCCTTCCTTTAGGCAGATAGCTCTTAATGTGCTCTGCCGTATCAAATAGCCTAACTTAATCTAAGAGGTAAAAGCTTCACGATGCGATTTAGATGCATGCTTCATTATCGCAGGTATTCCTTAAAGGCTTTTATCTAAAGGGCAAACAATTTATAAGAAACCTACATTCCAGACAGAGGAACCCACATACCTTTGTAAACTTACCTACTAAGAGAAGCAAATTATTTTAGCATCAAAATGGGAAGTTATAATATTAAATTTTAAAATAATTAAGTTCAGAAAGAGGCAATTATGCTTCGAAGATATGTTAGACATGTTATGATATGTTAGACTTATCCAAAGCCTTCAGAAATTCTATTTTTGTTATTTTCAGATTAAAGAGAGTTACATTCCTTTGTTTACTATTTCTTTGATTTTTCTAATCAGTTCTTCCCATTCTTCAGCAACAAGGAGAAAAAAAAAAAAAAAAAAAAATATTAGCATAATGAGCATGACTTCAACGAACTTTTAATGCACTTTTCATCGCAGATGACTGAAATATTTATCAGAATGAAAATACTGTGCATACTGCTGCACAAGTGGAAGATATGATTGGAAGATTTAAAAAAAAATCATTCGAAAATAATACGCATCATTTAAGGACTGAAATGCCCTAAAATACGCGATTTTTATCGAAATTATTAAAACTTATATATCGGAGAAAGTAGAAAAAAGCAATAGCTAAAGTAAAATACTGATAAGACAATTTTTCAGACATTGAGGTCTCATCATTTATTTAGATTACACGTTTAGATACGAACAGACAAAGTAAGAATGGCAATAATAGCAAGTTTTTAACTTATGTTTTCATTACCAAAAATTGTTTAAAGAGAAGCCGATTTGTTGGCCTACAAAATTGAATTTCGCTGATTAGTAGTTTAGTTGCCCTTGGAAAATATAAGCAGATTTCAAAATATTTACACAAAAATTAAACATTTTTATTTTCAGATTAAAGAATTGAATGATTCTGGAATGATGTAACGGGTCAACAAGTCGTAGGCGCTTTCACGTTTTTGTGATTCAGTGGCAACAGTGTACTTCCTTGTACGAAGTAAAAAGAAAGTATTGTAATCGCGAAAAGTTCCAGGCAGCATATTTCAACGAAAATATCCATTTTGACCGCTATCGAATGCAATTTAACGATGTTTTTGCGTGATATATGTACGTAA